ATATACATGTAGAAGAGCTGGTGATTATACCAGTAGGCCCTACGTTGGAGACAAGAGGAAGCCTGTTAATCTGATTGCATTCAGCGAGAGTCAACGTGGAGTTGGATCGATCTACGATAGTTCCATTTTTCTTAACTTAAGTTCAGATTTTATCGTTAATAAGGCAAAATAAAGCTTTTGTTCAATGGCGCGTTACTAGGAGGAATAACTGCATGGCAAAGGAAAAAACATCTAAACCAAAATACCAATTTAAACCGGTTTGAAGAACATACTCTTGTCGTCACTTAAGCCATTTTTGTAATAAGATCTTGTTCAGGGATATGATGGAGCAAGGCCCCTTATCGATTGCTATCTTACCTCAAAATTAAAAGATGTTAAATTGATGAAAAACGCTCTGAAGTTCCGATGCTTATGCTTAGCAACCAGAAGTCTATAAACGTCGATTTTTTATATTCGCGGGGATTTTTACTGTTTTCAATCAGCACAAAGGTAATTATTGAATGATTAGCTGCAGAAAAACCTCATTTTCGGTTTCTGGATGAACAGTACCCTATACCACGGCTTCTACTTGCAATATACAAAACGTGTACGCAACTAGAATCTGTATAGATAAATTTAGAAAGTGAATAAATAACTAATACTGAATACTGAATACTGAATACCGACTACTGAATACTGAAATTGCCCCTGCAGTATGGTGACATGATGTGCTGACACCAGCTCAGTTACAAGCATAATTGCGTACATCTTTACATCGATATACGATCGGAACTTCACAACCATAAGAAAACACAATTTCTTTACTTATCAATTCATTTTTTTTTTTTTTTTGTTATCGTCTATTTATTGAGATTTAGATGAACAGCGTTGAACTGGTGTAAAAACATGTTGTCATACGCGCTGGTGAAATTTTCATTTGCCATTCTGAGAAAAACTGTTCATGTGCACCCTGTTTAGATTCTAGTTACTTTTCTTTGTTTCTAATTTTCATTTTGCATGCACAGTAGTAGTCATAGCACTTTCTTTTTTGCACACACAACAGCAGTAGTTGTACTTTCATTTTGCAAGTTGCGCAGGCGGCGTGGGCATTTGTTTGTTTTAGCTTCTATGCATGCATTACTTTTCTACGCAGCAGAATATTCTGAGCTATGTTACGGAGGCAATGATGGTTTGCGAAGATATTCCGTGGAAAAAATCGATGTACAAATGCAACATTATACGTGAACAATCGTAGAGGAATGGCTATGGCGTTATTCCAGGCATATGGCTAGCACACGACGTAACGGTTTGTCTTTTATCAATCCAAAGTTAGAAAATTGATAAGATTTTCAATATTTTCAGGGAATGTCTGCTGATATGAGACTGTGGGAGAGACCAGGTATCGTTTGAGTTAATATGTGTTTGTCTGTCTGTCTGTCTGTATGTATGTTTGTGTGTGTGTGTCTGTGTGTCTGTTCGTCTGTCTGCTCATAAATCACTCTCTCTCTGACACACACACAAACACACACACACTATATAAAGCGAGAGAGAGAGAGAGAGAGAGAGATTAGATAATTTTGACGGCAACAGAACTATCATATGCAGCTCCTTTCAGGAAGGATTTCTAAGTTGAAGGATCTTCGCTCCCCCCCCACCACCCGCCTCTCCTTCTTCTCCTC